GAATTTTTCTTTCATTCTTAACCCTCTCAAAAATTAATAAGCACGCCCCCGATTTGCTGTCAACTGGGCTTACTTCTACTCTCAATCATTATTGGTTTTAGTATAGAAATTTCTTGCTTCGCATTGAAGCTTACCGCCATCCATTGTACAGTTTGACAACTATCGGACAGGAAATGGTTACTGTCTAGTCCCCCTAGATGACGTTACACGAGGAAACGCGCGTTAAGCGTAAAGGAGCGGTAAAGTTTGTGTTAAAAGCAAAAACACATTTTTAAATTAGCCATCGCCCCCCTAAACCGCTCCAATGCCCCCCAATCTTATCTGTGCCCTTTACTGCCCCCTATAGGCCTCCAGCGCCCCACAAGGGGGCGTTATCGCCCACTTTGAAAAAGAGTGCACTATGGTATAAGACGTATGGCCTGAAGTGGATGGAATCATATTCGATAGGATGAAATCAACTGGTTAAAACTGACCATATATCCGACTTACTAATAGTTGGTTGGGGAGTACCCCAAGGATCACTTTTAGGTCCACATCTATCTCTTCTGTGTATAAATTATCTTTCTCTCTTAGATATATCTGGATATATCACTTTATTTGTCAACGACACTATCTATGGCAATCTGAAGATGTGAATTTGCTTCGAAAAAGGAATATCAGTTTCAACATCTTCACTCGTTGAACGTTTATCATCAATACAATATTTTCTGAGCTGACTATTTTTCTTGTTTCAGAGGTAAAAATGTGTTAAATCAAAAAACAGAACTCCAACGCGCCTTAGAGAAACAGAAGGACAATCTGGCCAGAAAGCAACTCGAAAACCACATAGCAGCAAAGGCCCCGGAACTTGAAAAAGTCATTGCGGACAGGGCGAAAAGATTGCAGAATCCGAATGATGACAAGGTGAGGATCACTTGATTCATAACACAATCAATCACTTGATTTGTTTGACGGTCGATATATCGATATTGAGATTCGAAAAGCATATATCGGAATGCATTCGTAAAAGTATCTGGAAACTGAAAATTTTGTTTGGATCTCGAGCCACTTTGAATTTGAATCTTAAAAAAATGCTTTGCGAGTCTCTAGTTCTTTCTACTTTTACTTATTGCGATACAGTATATAGCTCTTGCCTTACGGCAACATCTACGCAAAAAATCCAGAAAATCCAAAACTATTGTCTCCGTTTCATCTATGGTATTCGTAGGCATCAACCTATCAGTCATAAGCTACGAGAAGCCGGGTGGCTAAATATGAAATCTCGCCGAAAACTTCACTGCTCCACCTTATATCACAAAATAATCACTACCCAAACTCCCTCCTACCTTTATAGAAAGATTGTGTTCCGCACTGACGTTCACAATCTTAATATAAGATCGAAAGGCACCACCAATCCATAAATCATCATTGTTTGAGAGAAGTTTTTCCTATAATGTATCGACCACTTACAATGCTATTCCAAATGATTTTAAGAATATGAAACTCTCCTGCTTTCGAAAAAATTTGTTTGAATTTAAGAAATCCTCTAATATCTAGAAAGCAGTTATTTGAATCAGCACATATATCTATAGTTTCACTTAATTTTCATTAGTTATCTGCGATCTTTTGTTCTTTTGTTTTTTCTTCTGTTTGTCCAAAGGTTGAGTGGAAGACCATCTTTGTGCACTCCAGTTGCTCAAGATGAACTCCGCCTTTTCAGTTTGCATAGGAAATGTTGTAGCGTATTTGATAGGTTTCATTTTATTTTGTAATCCTGTGTTCTACTGAATAAAGAATATTATTATTATTATCATTATATAGTGTGTGAGCTCTAACTGGCCGATTCAACAGAACACAGTGTATATTTATTTATTTCTGGGTGGTTCAATAGAACACACTGTATATTTATTTCTTTCTGTGAGATGTTTTCATTTTGCATTCGAATTTAGTGGTACACTGATATAATAGGTTATTTCAAAAGTTTTTTTCATTTTAATGTCATGTGTTTTTGTAGCTCCATATCTCAATACATAATTATTTATTATACTGTATCGTGATATATACTGATATATAGAGAATTTTGTGTACTGCACGTTGATGCCTCTTTTCAGCTTATTACTTATATTCAAGGTCTGTTCTTCTTTGCTTTTGCGCAACATGTTTTTTTAATCGGATTATCACGTGTGATAAAAATTGGATCCTCTACACCGATGAACCACCCAGGACCTTCCCAAATGCGAAAACCCACCAAAAAAGGATTATGGTAACTGCATGGTTGTCAGCGGCTGGTGTGATTCAGTATAACTTTCTGCAACCGGTCTAAACCATCACAGAAGAGTCTTATTGTGAAGTCAGATCCTCGTCCACAACAACGCCACGTTTCACAAATCATCTTTTGAAAATTAAACGAATTTAGCGTCAAAGTTCTTCCTCACCCTCTCACCCACCATACTTTCCAGACCTCTAGCCAACCGACTACTAAGTTTCACATAATTAACTCATTGATATGACAGTTTTTTTCACACTACCTAATACTCTCAGAATAATTCACTGCGATCTTTTCAGATCTATTGAGATGCTCCTCGGTTGTTAGAGCTCATTGTCTAGCTTGATCTCTTTGATGAGACTCCATATCTTTGACACCGACCCCCGCATCTTCCGTGTCTCAGCTTTGGCATTCACAGAGCACACACAGTGCGGTTTCTTCCTCTTCTAGACAGAACCTGCATTGGGTTTCTTCTGTCAGACCCATGTTGCTCATATGCCCCGTTAGTAGACCTATCACTACCCTTACAACTTAACGGTTGTGGTTTAGCAGGTCTTCCGTGAATCTGGGCGATGGTTTTTTATGTTTACTTCCCCTATACAGTGTTTGATGGCCGCTACTTCTGCCTGGAACACGATGGCCTTATGTCCGAGGCTGAGGGCGATTCTCGTCTTCGCTCTGCCTCCGTATATACCGGCGCCCACTCTTTCTTGGGTCGTTGAGCCATCTGTATACCAAGTTTCTTCCGCTTTTACCGGTGGGTCGTTTTTGCCAGTCCTCTCTACTTGTTATGATGATTTTCAAATCTTTTTGAAAATTGTACTGCGGAACTGTGTTATCCACGGGTGAGACAAGGGTTACTTGAGTTAAGGGGACTAATGCTTGTAGAATTTCCAAACGTGTACCAAGTAGTATCAATCCACCACTTAGATCATTTTTGAAAATCTATACAAAACATGTTTCCCATTCGTCGATAATTATAAACATTACTTTACTCAGGTCACTTTTTTACTCAATCTTTCTCATAGTAAATGTAAATAATTGATATGAGTCACATAACTTCTCCATCTAATACCGAGGTCAATGGTCGACTCAAAAAAAGTTCCTTCGGTAACAAAATTTTGTTTCAAGATAAGGAATAGTGTATGTAATTTTTGCAAACACATTCAATTTCAAAAGCGAATTAAAATAATATCTTCATTCCCACCAACCGATTTTTTGGAGTCTTTGAAGTCCACTAGGTACTCGTTAGGACAAGAGGATTGCTCCGAATTCTTGGGGTTCTTGTTGGATACTCTTCGTGAGCAAATTAATAGCAGAATCACTACTCCTGACCGCTCTGGATTGAATAATTCCGTACAATCTAGAGGTAACAGAAACGTATTTGATTATCTGAAACTTCAACTAGTGTTTCCTAATATGACTGATAACCAGTCCGTGTAAGAAAACAAATATATATGAGGCACCAGTCAATCTAATAATAACACTGATGAACACCTCAAACATGACTCAACCTCTGACGGAAGCACCAAACTCTTTCGAAGGCGAAATAGATGAACACTTCAATCTAGCAGACCACAATTATGATCTTCATGCAGTCATTGTTCACTGTGGTTCTGGACATTATTACGCCTTGGTCAAAGACGATTGGTTTAAATTTGACGATAGTCGTGTCACAAAGTGTTCTGGCGATGTCTTGAATTTATTGGAATCTCTGGAGACACCCTACATGTTATTTAATGAAAAAGAGGACATTGGCAGATCAAGATCTTCAGATCATGTGATGCTGCAAGTTTTTTCACAGCTGAAAAAGCAAATGCGCCAGACCCCGGGGCGTCAATCAATTTGTGTTATTGTTTCATAATTTCATTATTTATATTACTTTATTCTTTATTATTACATTATATGAATTACATTTTTTCATGTATTTTCAGTATATATCTTCACAAAAAGCAGTTTAAGTTAATTAAATACAAAACTGTTTTCAAATAATTTGGATAAGTACTGTCCTGTATCAATTGCGTTGTATTCAATCTGACTAGGCATACATTACGTATTTTTAATTTCAATGTGTTGATTGTAATGCAATGCAAAACTCTGAGATCATCATAAGAATTCACATTAGCTTTGACCCAAATATTAAAAATGCTTAGTAGAAAGATTGAAAGCAATTTTAGTTGTCTCATAATGCATCCATTGTTTGTAGTTCATCTCATTTTGCGATTCTGTAAATTTTGTATGACTGCACTTCACCCTTGTGTTACTTTCTTCAACAGACATTGATGAATATTCTTGAATACTAGTAGTACTTGTGATGCACTATTTGGTGTTTATTCTTCCTCTTAAAGATGATCACTTGGTAATTAAAACACGTGTCGAGGTGTTAAAAATGAATGTTGAGATAGAACTATCTGGAAGCTACTAAATTGATGTTTTTTGTGGTAAAATATTAATTTTTATATGGTTTTTTTTTCAGAATGAAGATGAGAAAGTCCTCAATAAAGAACTCCTTCAAATTCGAATGAAACTGAAAACCCGAAATAATAGCAACTGAACGAAACATCATTTAAATATTAAGTTGTTTGATATAAGATGAATTATTTAATGAATCGATTTATCTTGGCAGAATGTCAAATTATTGTGTTTTAGGCATAGATTATTTAATGTGATAAGTATTGGACTAAGTTTTTTATTTCAAGAACATTATAAATGTATAGTATAAATATAAGAATGAAAAATATTTTTTTCTATTTCTATTTTGGAATATTCACCAGATGAGACTGTGCAGATTTATTCTTACTAAACTGCCTCAAAAATGCAAATAACTTCATAACAAATGTACAGTAATAATATAATTCAATAAACAATCAGACTTGGAAATTCCACGTTTTTTTTTTAATTGTTATTGGTATGCCAATGTCAACATTTCGAATGTTAGACATGAAGTATTTTATTGAATAATAATGGCCAATTACAAGCCAACCAACTTCAATAAATGTAAATTTCTCATGACAGAGGCAAATCGAGAAATTTCTACATCCTCATTTCTTTTAACCTATAAAAAATATCCATAGGCGGATAACCAAGAATGTTTTATGATTTTACCACAGTATTAATACTCTTAACACATTTCTAATATTTCACCTTGCACTCATTGAAAGATAATTCGTGATATTTAAGGTTTTTATATTCTTTCACACTAAAGATCCGCGATTAAAATCCAGGCTGGTAGACCTGCTACTGAGGCTGACAGGGGTTCGAGTTATATTCCGAAGTCTCTGCAACGACTTAGTTACCAATTTAAAGCTCTTTCAACAGAAGGCCCACATAAAAGCCGCAGAGATCAGTTTACTCCTGCAGCAACACAAATATAAGCCATCATGGTCTGTCAGGATAGACTCTTTAAACTCCTTAGTCTACCGTTGTCACGTGATAGGTATAGTTTCCTGACACGAGTTGCAGGACCTGCCGCGAAGCTCCTGAAACTCTATTTCAATTGTGGTCAGCATGTCTAGTATATGCGGTTTCTGTCTATTTTCATCAACATTACGAGGCTCCCTAAGTGTACTTTGTTACCACCTACAGCACTCTTGCGGTATTGACGATATACTGGTGATGTCCTACGATCCGGGAGATATTGAATCCGTTGTGGGGAACGAACAGTACCGAATTTATTGGAACTATTCGTTCCCCACCATCAGGCTTATGCCAGCTATAAGACTGATGTAGTTCTTCTCGACAACCAGAGCAAGACGATATTCGTCGTGGAGTTTTTAACTCCCGGCGAGACGAAAATCGTCCGAAAACAGAAGGAAAAACGGATGTAATGTCGAGATTATGTGTTCGATCTCAGACCATTTGTCAAAACTGTTGTTTTGTTTATTGGAATCCTTGGTGGAATGATTCCCTCTCTACTTTCGATTCTCCGCACTGTAGTAGTTGTTCGTAAAATAAGTTTTTGCTGTGAACTGGTTTATTTTGGGCAAAAAACCCAAGAGAATTTTTTTGTTTGAAATGAAACAGGCTATGGAGAATAAATTTTTGAATTGTAAACAAATAATAAGACAAAAAGTTACATAGGAAATAAATTTTGGAGGTTGCGTTTTCCACCCCTTACAACCATGGGGTAAACCAGTGTCTTTTTGGTAGTAGAAAACGTCAGGTTAATTTCAAGTTTGTAACTTTTTCAGTGCTTGTGAAAAAAATTGTTATACAAATTTTATGTACCCCCTTTAAGGGGCTGTATCTTAACAAGGGAGGCTCCAATGAAGTTTCTTTATATGAAAGATCCTATCTTTTTTTCGATGAGGAATCACCTCCTAAAATGTTTTACACTTATTCAGTTACACCCTGTATATTAAGTTGTTCTTCCACTTTACCCGAAAAACCTCTACATGATATCTACATATAAATAAAAAAGTAACTAGGTGAATACCTATATGAGATACAACTTGAAATATTCGAAATACATACAGTTTATTTGATATTGGTTATCTACACATCCATGTATAGAGTTACTTATTTTCAAATTGATTACTTCCTTCCTTTCTTTGTAAGATTTTCTCATCCCCTTTTTTTGTATCAGATGAAGTAGTAGAAAGCCAAAAACTTTCTTTCCCAAAAATTAATCACTCCTAAAAATATAACCCTTTCAACTTTCTTTGGAAGATTCTCTCATCCCTTTTTTTGTATCAGATGGAGTAGTAGAAAGCCAATAACTTTCTTTCCCAAAAATTAATCACTCCTAAAAATATAACCCCTTCAATTCAAATATTGGTTATATTATGAATTACAACATACATAGGAATGAATTGAAATAAATCAATGAAATTGAAAATACAGATCGATTTTTAATTCAAGAGGGACATATTTTTATCATAACCTCAACTATCATACCTCCTCCCCCGCAACGATTATGGTGTGTCCATAATCGTTGCCTCCCCCGTGCCTTGGTGGTGGTTACCCAACGACTAATAATCGTTGGTGGTTACCATCACTATTTGAATATGGATAGGAAAACTACCATTGAAAAAATAATTTCATAGAGAATTAATCCACGTGACTGTTCACTACGTAACTGTTCCGAATTTCGAATTACGATTCATTTGAAAGATTATGTGATAAAGTAATGGGAAGATAACAAAAATTGATATAATGTACATTGTATGAACCCAAAAAAATAGAAAACTTTGAATAATTTCAATAGTTTCAAACTACATTTATTTACATTAGAAGTCCGAATTATTCACAACCAATTGTCATGCCTCGGTATAATTTTGTTTCGAAGCTTTGTCATTTTGGAACATTTCTGGAGTTACTTGATCACGTTGTTTTTTTCCAGAAGATGGCACCGAAATAAAAAGTTAAGTAGTAAAAAAGTTCCCTTTTAATGAGGTGTTTTAGTACTTTCCCTATTCGAATTCTAATGGCAATGATCCCCAAAGAGCATGGGAAGAGGTAAGACAGTTGTTGAGGGTTGAAGTTATGGTAAAAAGATGTAAGATGTCTTCCATGAATACAAAATCAGTAAATTCTATCTAACGTTCTGCTTCAACTTAAAACCTGCTCAAATTAGTTAAATATTTGGTTGGTTGAATTAACAATCAAATCCGAACAAAGAAATTTTGATTTATGACTTCATTTAACTCTTTGTATCACCAGTATCCTCAAAATCATCGTTACATATGATAAAAATGTAACTAGCCACTATTTATGTATATGTAACATATCACACAGGAGTGCTACGAGGTAGTGTGCTTGGTCCCCTATTATTCATTCTGTATCTGAATGATATTCAATTATTTACAGATTGTGAGTTCATCAACTTATTTGCAGATGATACCTTATTGGCCTGTACTAGAGTGAATTTAGAAGAAACTGTTGGCAGAATGAATTAAGTTCTAAAGAAAGTAGAAAAATATCTGAAAACCAATAAAATGAAACTTAACGTTAAAAACACAAAAGCAATGATAATTACTACTAAATTCAAATATAATCAAATATATTTGATTGATGCAACTAATTTTCCTTTATTTTGAGTATTTCAATATCAAATTCTACAGAAAGGATTTGAAGCTTTATATCTTCTATTAATTATCTGCGAGCGCTTTCGACAGTTGGTAGTACTGTCATCATCTGGCACTCCTCAAACTGAACTGGTCATCCTGTTGTCTCAAAAATGAAAAGCAGGTGAAAATCGACGCGTTCAATAGATAGTGTTGCTTAAAAATTTCCATTCAAGTGATTTCGTCAAATAATTTTCAAAATTTTGAGCTTCATGAAGCGAGAAGTTGTAAGAATGACCTACAGAGTCAACTTTTTTTTTACTTATCTTCAACTCATGGGTACAAATTACACATTAAAAAATGCCACTGAAATGCTCTATCAAATCAAAAATTGATAGTAAATGGAAACTTGCAATCAGGGCTTTCTGATATATCGATAACAATATCATTATATTTGTGCAAGTATTCTTAATAAAAATACAAAAAAAAGTTTGGGAGGAAAAACATAAAAGTTGCTGATGCGTTAAACTTGATTTTTTAAAAAAATCTTTATTGTGGAGTCTCTCTCGTGTGCAGGCCCCGGTGCAATAGCCCCGCCTGCCTCCCCTGAATCTGGCCCTGCATGGTGGATATTAAAAAAATGTTTGGGAGAAGGGGTCACAATAAACCCAATAGAATCCAAACTGTTTGTATTTTCTTTGGCGTTACCGATTTAAGAGCGGTTGCCACTTTTGTATTGTGGCAAACTTCATTCTATATTTACTTCATTTATTTCAAAAGGTTCATAAATGAAAGAGTTATTCAAAACAAGCCCTTTTCCCAAACACTAAAACTGCAATACTTTCCCCGATGCACGTTCCACCAACCAAGTTAGCGTCTTCATGAGATGGAGAAAACTGACAGTTTTCTTCATCCCCTCATTTCGACAAAACATCAAATTAATATCCGAAACAAGTACCTACACACTGCTCCCAAACACTGGGCGACTCGCCAGCTGGCGAGTTCTCTTGGTTTTATTCAACGCCAGAAGTTTCGGTTTTACTTTTTATTGAAAAAGTTATGTCAATTTGAAAAACCAAGTCAAACACTTGTTGGAAGAAATACTATAAAAATACTGTTTTGATTCGTCTGAAACTCTCGTTAACTAGATTCATGTTATTACCTTTAAAAAATCAAAGATAGGTATACGAGAACATTCTGCTGGGAAGACCCACAAACTGAAGTCCATGTGATTGCAGATGCAGTCGCGGTCAAAATCTAGTATCCAGTAAAACTCACATTCTTTACCTTTATTCCACGGTTTCGTAGAATAATAATCGAAATTTAAAGATTTTGAGACATTTCTAATCCATAAGATATTTGATATTCATGAGTTTACATGGATATGATCTAAACTTTGGCCGACAATTTCAGAATTCGTCGGTTCCATATTGTGCTGCCACCTAGTTTCGAGAAACCCAAGTATTAGAGATGTTTTGGTTCGTTTTCCAACCTTGCACTTTGTTATCTTTTCCGTTTAGCAGACGTTTGACAATCTAAACAATGGCCGCGTATCAGATGGGACTACTATTGATCTGAGTGTTTGTGACTGTTTTTCGTGTGTTTAAGATGTAATATTTCTACGAAACCCAAGACAATGTGGATTCCTACGAAAGTAAAAAAATACGGAGTCGGTAAGTACTGAAATTATTGATGACAATGAGCTATTACCTTGAAAAGCAGTTTACAGATGATATATTTTCCAGGGTCTACCTATGTTTTCATAGGTATTATTTGTATTTTTCATTTGTGCAATGACAATTTACGAACTTGTTATGATAACATATAGGTTAAGCTATTTTTTCAAACATATTTACGTAACTAGAACTTGGAACATTA